AGACTTTTACTTCACAAACAGGAATAGACAGCTTCTGTAATTGTCCCAACCGTGGACAAGAATAGTTTTGTTGGGTTTGAGGATTGTATAGATTTGTAAAAATGCACTCAATATTCCAGGTTATAGGAATGAGAAAAAAATAAGATGCAGAAAAATTTTCCGAGCTGTTCATGTTTATAGGCATGGAAACACACACCCACTCCATCTCGTAAACACTGAATTATGTGGGTGCTCATCGGTGTTTTTTTCAAGTCTGGCTTTCCTCTGTGCTTCATGTGATGGCCAAAGCTGTTGTCAGGACACACTGTGGAAAATTTGTTATAGGAGAAACGCTCCACATGTGACCTTTTTCCTGTGAACCAGTCATAACCATCCACAATTACATCACTTGCTTTGTGTTTATTAGACTTAGCTTTGCTGTGGTGATAGCCAACCAGATTCAGCTGGAAGGGGTTTGATTCTAACGCAGAAAGCAATGGCACCTGGTAGTGGCTTCCTTCTTGTTTCAAATTCTCTCGACTAAGAAGTGTAAGGATGTTACATGGCAAACATTAGGTTTTAAACGTGGAGACAAGTTTTCCACACGAGTAACATTTAAGAGTCTTGACTTGAAGAGTGTTGGCATTCCTTCCACCAATACTAAGTGATGGTGTTGTGTTCATCCTTTGGGAATTTCATTTTGTAAAGCTATTTTCTTCACTAATGAGATCTTTTTCATGTTAGACATGTTATGAGTAAATATCTTTGAGATCTAAAATGTGACCATCCTCAGATCAGTCATCATGGTTTTATATATCATTATGGCATGATTTCTAGATGTAAACAGTGAGAAATATCTTGTGGGCTCAGAAAGGCTTTAGTGAGTAATAGTGTCAGCTTAGCTGAGAAGGAACCCATGTTAAACGTCTTACATAATTTCAGTTGTGTGAAAGGGAAAGGTATTTTTTAAATCCATGAAATAGTAAACACTATCAATGAATTTCACAGTTGTCATCAATATCTGTTTCTTTCACTAGACTGTGTATCTTTAAAATGCTGTGGCTAGATATCTACAGTATTGGGAAACACTACAGTTGTCTGAGTTTGGTTCACTGTGCAGCAAGTCTTTTGTTGAACAACTATAGATATTATAAAGTAAGAGCTGTATAGAATGACTCCCATAAAATAATCGGAAAAAAATTTAATGATAGATTTCAAATTTCTTAAAAGAAAAAATATATTCAAAAGGCCCAAAGACCTTCTCTAGACCAAGCACCTCTGACGAAGAAACACACTTGGGTGAAAGGAGCTGAGAGGCTGTCACGGAACCTTTTTGTTCTCCAAGGAGCAGTTGTTGAAATAATTTTTTTCTTCAAATGATATTTTCTTCTGAAAGGGTTAGATTTCTCATGCTACATGATTAAAAAAATTTTTTTCAATGTGTAGGCAATAGCTGAGTTTTATTTAGTTTGGCTAGAATTAAATTACGATATTTTTCTATCAGTTTGGTGGTAGGTTTCAACAAATGCACTTGGTAGAAACCAAATATTAGGGTTGTGGCAGTCTCCTGCTTAAAGAAACAGTCAGGGAAGAAGAATTGCAGTAGGAAGTTCATGCATCTGGCCTTTATTAGCTTCAGTTAGGATGACATGCTCTACCAGTGTCTTTCTAGCATGTTCTGAGGAGATATCTGACTGGATTCTATGAAGATCAACAGTGCTCACACTCCTGACAGTGGGACTCTGTAGTTGCTCTGTACAGGGCATAAATGTTAAGATTTCATCAGCATTGCTTCATTTAATTGTCATATATGAACGAGCACGCGTGCACGTGTGTGCGCGCACACACACGCACGCACGCACACACACACACACACACACACACACACACACACACACACACATACACACACACCACAACAACAATGGAAAGACTAGAAAGTTGGCCATTTGCCTTTGCCTTTGTGTAACACCCTCCCTTTCCCAGCGTGAGGCAAGGGTGAAAGCTGAGCACACTCATTTGGCACAAGTGCTGCCCAGTGCCAGCTGTGGCCACTTGTGTACAGCACCTCCCTGAGAACATCCTCTGGGAAAGCTAGGAACAGATTCCACAGTTTTGTATAACTTGCCTGGATTCTCTGTAGTTTGGGCTCAAGGGCGGTAGACACTGTTCTTCCTGTCTTCCCTTCTTCCCCGCTGTCCTTCTTCCCACCGACTCAACCTGCCATGGAGCTTCTCCATCTTTCCAGTGAAGAGCTGCGCCCCTGCAGTGAACCTGGTTAATCCCTCTTTCCCCCTGGTGCAGGCCTGATTGCTTCATCTCAAGGATAGAAAGAAGACAAAAACAAACAATTCTCTGCAGCAGTTCAAGTGTGTGGATGCTACTTTCCAAGCCTTGGTGCCTTCCAGCAGGTTTGCCATCTCTGCTATAATCAGAGTCGTCCCAGAACATAAAAAAGACCTTAGAGATGGGTGGTCCTGGCCTTTCGTCTGCACTCGGGAGGCAGAGACAGAAGGATCTTGAAAAAAATAAGTTACAAAGCTTCATGGTTATAAAGAAATTGTAGTTTTTAATGTTATATTTCCACCTTTAAATGCCAAGGGAGGATTTCTTTCTTTTTGTTTGTTTGTTTGTTTGTTTTTGTTTTTCGAGACAGGGTTTCTCTGTGTAGCTTTGGCGCCTTTCCTGGAACTCACTCTGTAGCCCAGGCTGGCCTTAAACTCACAGAGATCTGCCTACCTCTGCCTCCCGAGTGCTGGGATTAAAGACATGCACCGCCGCCACCACCTGGCAAGGATTTCTTAATGTACTTTTTTTTTTATATAATTGCACTTAGCTAATTTTTATTTCAAGTTTCAAATGTAAGAACATTTTCAATTCAACACAGAGAGGTAGCAAGCATTCCGTACCATGATCAGTTCTTAACGTGACCAGTGTGTTCATCAAGAAGATGGGAATCAAGTATTGCTTCACTCGGACTAAAGACCTCATATATAGTGAAACTCTAAACTATCCCTTAAAAATCAGACATATACAGTGGAGTTTTATTCAGCCATAAAGTGCAAAATTATGTCATATGCAGGAAATTGACAGAAATGGAGATCATCATGCTGAGAAAAATAAGCCAGAACCCCTCAAAGATGAATGTCATATTTTCTCTTATATGCAGAACCTAGAATTTAAACACACACACATACAGACAAGCGTATGCACATAAGTAGAAGGGAGACTAATAGAGAAGAGGAGATTGACTCATAAGGGGACAGGAGAGGGTAATGAGGAGTGAATGTTGTCAGAGTGTGTATATATATAATATTCAATATTATATATATATTGAAGAAAAATACTTTATGGAAGTCATCACTTTGTACAATGAATATATATGAATAAAAAGCTTTATTATTAGGTATTTTGAGAAGGGGGGTCTCACTATGCAGCCTTGACTGGCCTACAATGCATAGAGATCACCCTGCCTCTGCCTCCTGGTACTTTTTATTTTTTTAATTCATGCTTTGACTTAGGAATTGCACTTGCACAGGCATTTACTGCTTCTCGTTGTTTTTTTAACATGTCAATGGAAAGGCCATCTCTGTTATTTCACATTTGTTCTTTGTTCCTTGGCCATGTGTGCTTGGACCTGGTGATTCCAGGAGGTCTCACTGACGTGTGTGCAGCCTCACAGAACTCCCACATTGTATTTTTAAGGTGGTTTTTAATTTTTCTCTTCCATCCAAAATATTCTGTCAAAAAAAACCTTGACTTTGGCTGTAGAGGGAAATGACAGAATTTAAACTCTGGCCCCATCCCTGGCATCCGCGAGGCCCTGAACAAGCAGTCTACACTCTCTGAGGCTAGCCTTCCGGTACCCGGTTTTTAGAGTTCTTGTGGATATCGAAGGACAGAATGCCTTAGGATGCCATTTACTACTTCAACCTCTCAGGAGATTCTGACGGGTGTTTTCATTTCCAGTCACGGCGAAAGTCATGTTTTTGGTAGCTAGTCTTTATTTAATGTTAGATTTTTTAAATGAAAGTTATCTTAGACATCCTTATAAACCTAACTTTACAAGTGTACGGAAGATGTAAAAAACAAAGAGCCTGCACCAGGTCCTCAGCATATATGTAATGGCATCCGGTTTCGTGTTTTAGGGACTTCTGAGTGTGCGAACAAGTGGGCCTCTGACTCTCGTGCCTTCGCTTGGTCTCTTTTCCTTCTGTTGGTTTGTGCTGTCCAACTTCAGTGTGATAGTTTCTGTTTTATCATACTATATTTTATTTTGTTATATTTTTAGAAAATGAATGAATGAATGAATGAATGAAAAAACCTAGCCACCAAGGCAAAGGGTAACAACTGAGCTGTCATTTATACCTGTTGGAAGAGGGAAGACCAGTTTTCTACAATGGAGTGACCTGGGGTTCTTCAACCACTCCAGCACAGGCCTCAAGTTCAGGAGCAGTCAGCCAACATGTAACAGACGCCACAGTTTTTCGTGTGTTCTTTTATTTGGTTAAAGTTTTTGTTTGTTTATTTGTTGTTTTCTTTTTGGGTGTTGTTTTGTTTTCTTATTTTTGAGGGATTCTGTTGTTGTATTGGGTTTGTGTATGTTTTGTTTTTTGAGAAAGAAATTAAAGTTTGGTGGGTAGGAAAGGGGAGAAGGTCTGGAAGGAGTTGGAGGAGGAGAAGAATATGATCCAAAAATATTTAAATTTAGAAATTGTTTTAAATAATAAAAATATAATAAGAAGAAAACACCAAAATGAATACATCCGCCTTAGAAATGTTTCAAAAGAACTCAGACTGAATGTTACAGACGGCTGCTCACTCCGTTCTCCAAACACAGAAGGCTCTCCTCGGGTGTCAGGGACTTGGTGTGTTTAGATTCCAGCGAGTGGGCAGATCTCACAAAGCCACTTGAAGGCGCCGCTCTGCACACAGGGAGACACTGTCGGTGCTTCTGGGGAGGCAGGTTTGTGTCCTCTGTCTCCTGCCAATAACTAAAACGTTGTGTTTTTGCTTTTCAGTCACTCAAGACTGTCTGCAACTGATTGCGGACAGTGACACACCGACGATCCGAAAAGGTAATGCTCGGCCCTGCTCTGTGTCTGCTTAGGACTCAGTCCAGTGTGGCTTGTGCTTGTAAGTTTCCAGTCTGACGTAGTGTTTCAACTACAGCTCCCATCAGCCACCCTCCAGACTTCCTATCACAGGAGCCTCTTCAAAATGACTACGGAATAAGCACACAGACTAGTGTAATAACACAGTAAACACATGGCCTCAGAGACACTAATATTACATTTTAGATAATCAGAACAAATTGAGTTTTGCTTTTATTGTTCGGGGAAGTGTTGGCTTCTGTGAGGACAGGCGACCATCTTCATGAGTCAGCCTGTGATCCTTGGCTGGAGATCTAAGATGGGAACAAGGTTGCCATGTCCCCAAAGCTGTAATTTTATCCATTTTTAATGTCCAGCTAGTACTTGATGATGGATTATTTACTCTTAAGAGTGGAATGCTTTCAATTTTATTGTTGCTTCCTTGAAATTTTGATAGTTTTAATTTTAGGAAGAAAAAAAAAGTATTTTCTCTAATAGTGGCCAAACACAAGAATCCACTTTTCACCCCATTTCCCAAATGGCACCACCCACAATTTTGAGCCAGAGGAAGGTCTGTGATGCAGGACTCTGTTGATAAACCCCTTGGAAGCAGCTTTCTGCTCCTTCCAGTATTTGGGGGACACACAAGGCTCTTTATCACATCACTGAACCTGATGCCCTGCTCCAGCAAAATCTTTTCTCTCCCTAATTTAGTCCGGTTTTTCATAGTCATGTGACCAGGCCACTCTTGCATGCAGCAGCGCCCTGAAAAGTCAAATATTTGGGGAACATTGATATGTTGCAGCTTTTGAGAATGCAAGATAATCAGTGGGCAAAAGCGTTCAAGAAAGGAATGCTGCGTCTGGTCTGCATGTTTTATCTGCAGTTAACTTGTCATTAGGGCGTGAAGAGATGAATCCTCAGTGACTTTCACACACGTATGTCATCGTGCTTTGCTCTCCCCCTCCCACTGCCTTCCCTACCCTCCCCGTCCTGCTTGATCTGTCCCCCCCTAAGTCTTCTTGCCTCATTTGCCTCTACTGGTTCTCCTCTCCCTTCCTAAAGACCTCCTCCTCCTTTGTAGTCCCTTTATAGTCTCATACATTCGACATGCATGCGCACACACATGCAAGTGAACATGTGCACACACACACCCCCACACATGCACACATGACTGCACATACATGCCACACATGCACGCCAGAATCACACCGTGTCTGTCTTTCTGGTCTGTGTTTTGCTTAAGACAATGACCTCCAGTCCCATGCATTTTCCTGTGAATGTAATAATTTCATTCCTCCTACAGCTGAAGAAAATCCCATTCTCTGCACCACACCGTCCACTCATCTGTTGAGTTTTTCACTTTACATACACTGATGAATAACATACAATGACTGAATCACTGAGGATACTGGAATGTCTGTATTGAAGAAAATATACACGTGTTTTATTTTGAAGATGTTTTACTGCTAGTGGGGAGAAAAGAAAAAAGAGGAAAACCCCACAAATTAATAGGTAAAGAATGTAAGAGGACAACTTGGAAGTAGGGGGAAGAGAGCCAGCTAGGGCTTGGGGATTTCTGAGTCCTTGGCCCACAGTTGGAGTTTGAGACCACACTTGATGACCAGGAAAAGAGAAACAAACCAGGACAGATGAGTGCAGGTTGGCCTCTGCGGTGAGTCTTGGTGTCATTGTGCATTTATACTTCTCTACTTAATAGTGTTAAATGCCAAACAAATATGAGACCATCCGAGAAGCTGTGATTGTTTATGGATTTCTGTTTCATGTCTGTAGAATTTAGAAATCAGCAACCAATTCCCTAAGACTAGAACTCAAGCCAGAAGAGCTTCAGAACTAAAGACAACATTTAAAACAATGCTTGGGAAAGATTTGCTGTACACATTTGTCAAAGGGAAAAAAAAACCCAAAATCCACATGAAACACTGCATTTTCTGTGCATTTATGCCACGGACATGGCTATGCCGGCCTGGGCTACTGCCAGAACTTCCTGGCCTTTTGCCTGCATGGGCTGATCTTGGCTGGCCATCTGAGAACAGGAACAAACACACGAGAACAGTATCTAACTGTGGCGTGCACTGGCATTTTAGTGAGGAGTCAGACAGACCCACGTGAAGAAAGTTTGCATGCCATGAACCACTGCCCCTTGCAAGGGGCAAGCGAGTCTTTCCCAAACAGATAACATATTTTTATCTCATTGCTCAGTGTATCATCTGGGGTCTTAGGTGAAGTCTCGTTCATGCTGGAGAGCCCAAAGAAAGGGATGATTTGCATTCAATGTGCTCACCATCGGTGATGACTATGTTCTGCTGATCTAAAACACCTCAAAAGGAAGTCACATTTATTCTTATTCCAAGTATGAGTGATGGTGGACCAGGAGCACAGATCCAAGCTGCCCCGAAAAACGTTTCAATATCTACAGAGCAGAAGAAAGTCACAAGTCAAAGCATTTTTCAAATGCATTGGTGCAAGTATCAGATGGTGGCGAAGAGGGGAGAATTGTCTGTTGATAACTGACTTTTGGGTTGGTGCAAAGAGTTATATGTTAACACATTCTACAGGTTTTTCCTGAGAGCCACAAGGCTGTGGTTTAAACACAGAAGTGGGGGATGAGTGAATAAAAGGGACTAACCAAAACGTGGTTTATTTATTGTTGTTGCTTTCCTGTGAAGGACCTCATTATAGTGCTGATTTACATTTCCCTTTTATGATCTTTTTTTTTTTTAAAGATTTATTTATTTATTATGTATACAGTGTTCTGCCTACATGCATGCTTGCAGGCCAGAAGAGGGCACCAGATCTCATTATGGATGGTTGTTAGCCACCATGTGGTTGCTGGGAATTGAACTCAGGACCTCTGGAAGAACAGGCAGTGCTCTTAACCGCTGAGCCATCTCTCCAGTCCCTTGAGTTATGATCTTAAGCATCACTCCAAATTCTTACTGAATATTTGAGTATCCTTTTTCGGGAAAATGTCTACTCAAAACCTTGACTACTGTACACTTTTTAATTGAGTTATTTTTCTTTTTGGTGTTGAAATATGAAACTATATTTTAGATGACACACCTTGACAAAAGTGCTTGGTTTGCAAATATTTTCCCTTACTTTGAGGATTGCCTGGTTTTTATTCTTTTGTTTTATCGAGACAGTGCCTACTCATGAAGTCTGAGATGGCTCCTGAGTGCTAGGATTATAGCCATTGTGTCACCATGTTGGTCAGAAGTACTCAATTTGATGAAATTCAGTTCCTTTACTGATTTTTCTTCTGTTTCTCATGCTTTGGGTGTTACTGTTGATGAATATGTCAACAAACTCAGCAGCACAGTTGACATCTTTGCCTTCTCCTAATGATCATATATTCCTATATTCAAGTCATTTGTATCAGCACTGAAGTCACTGGATTATTTTTGTCAGTTTTGTGTATGTTTTGGACAGTGGCACAGCACCACCCATAATATGTAGATATTCAGTTATTCTAACATCCTTTGTTGGAGAGGATCACACAGACTTGGACACTTGTAAAAGATCCAGTTGGGACTAGAATCGTGGCTTTATTTTTGCACTCAATATTCTGTTAGTTTATAGGCCTACATTTATGACAGAACACGACAGTATTTTGCCTACTGTAGCTTCTTGTAAACTTTAAAGTTTCGAGAGTTAACTCTTCGATATTGTGTGTCATTTTAAAGACTGTTTCGGAGACTCAAGTATCCTTGTCAATAATAAATGAACATCAGGTTGTCTTTTCCACTTAGAGAAAAAAAAAACCTTGAGTTTGTAGATAGAGAACCTGTACTGACTCTCTAGGTAGCATCAAGTAATATTGCCATGGTAATGACACCCAAGGTAGACTCCATGGACATGAGGCATCTTCTTACTTATGTCTATAACTTATGTCTCCTGTGTTTAGCAATATTTTATAACTTTTATCATTTATGCAGTAGTATATTGAGTGAATTTAATTTTAGGCATTTTATTTGTTTGAATTCAGTATTAGTTCCAGTAGATATAGTAAATTACCATAGACTGGATTATTTAAACAGTGAATTGTTTTCTCCCAATATTGGGGGCTAGAAAAGACCAAGACCAGTTGCCAGGAGATCTGTTAAACATATATTTGTGTTTTGTGGTGTTTGTCTTCTTTCTTTTTTTCTCTTTTTAATTTCTTCTCTCATACATTATATCCCAATCCCGATTGAGGTTTCCCCTCCCTCCACTCCTCCCAGCCCCCCCACCTCCCCTCTCCCCAGATCCACTCCTCCTCCATTTCCCTTTTATTGTGACCTTGCACAATGGATAAGAGAGCCAAGAGTAACTCACACCAGTACCATTCATGAAAACTGAACCTCTGTGACATAAAAACTCCTGGAGTTTCTGCCTCCCAACAGCATCGCTGGGACATAGGACATATGGACATATAGACATAGGACATAGGACATATGGACATATGAACATAGGACATAGGACATAGGATATATGGGTTTGGGGAAGACTTGAACTCAGTGCATAACAGATGATGTTAAAGATGGAACTGTGTTCTTCAATTCCACTTTTTCCCTTCTTGGTTGAAATGAAAGTGACTTTGGGGAGCTGACCCTGTGTGACACAACTTAGTTAAATTCATTTATTAGCTCTGCTGGGTTGATATCTGTTCCATAGATCACTGTTTTGTGTGACTATAAATGGTTCTACTTTACTCCTTCCAATTGGATGCCTTTCCTTCTATTCCCTCATCTCCTAGCTGCTTGAGCTAAAATTCCAGTGCACTGTTGGGCAGCAGTAATAAGAGTCCTGCCCGTGATCTTAGCATCATGCCAAGGAGTGTTGCATTTACCCTCATGATTAATGTTTGATATGGAGTTCATTGTGGTTTCTGGCTTTGGTACCAGGGTGATTCTGGTTTCACATCATGAGTTAGTAACTATTCTTTTTTTTTTTTTTTTTAGAAGAATTTGAGGAAGTTATTGGAAGTGTCTGTTTGTTTATATGTCACCATCCTGGTTCCCTTCAGTTGCATAAACATGTTTAATAGTTCCATGTCTGGCCTTTTTCAGGGATGGTTTCAGTTAAGGTCTATTCTCTCCTGTGGTTGGCTCATGATTTCCTTATATATTTGTATGTATTTTGACCTATTCTTGAAAATTAGGCAGTTTGGAAATCATAATTTGTTGATTCTGGAAATAAGGTGCCCCACCCATCCCAGAGTTTTCTGTGGTTTATTGTGATATTGTCAGAATAGTCATTTAGTTATTCAGTTACTTTTCACCCATCTATCCATTCATCCATTCATCCACCCATCTACTCATCTACCCATCTATCCATCCATCAACTTATCCAATCATCTACCCATCCACCAACCCACCTACCCACCCAAGCATCCATCTACCCATTCACCCACCCACCTATTCACCCATCCACCCACCCATCCAACCATCCACCCATCTACCCACCCACTCATCCACCCATCCATCTATCCATCTATCCACCCATCTACCTATTTACCCATCCTTCATCCTATCCAACCATCTACCCATCCACCAACCCACCTATCCACCCATCCACCCACCACCCACTCACCCACCCATCCACCCATCCAACCATCTACCATCCATCAACCCACCCATCCACCCAGCTATCCATATACCTATCCACCCAGCCACCCAGCCACCAATCTGCCCACCCATTCATCCACCCATCCATCTACCCACCCATCCACCCATCTACCCACCCACTCATCCATCTACCCACCCATCCATCCACCCACCCACCCATTCATCCATCCATCCACCCACCCACCCATCCATCCATCCATCCATCCATCCATCCACCCACCCATCCATCCATCCATCCATCCATCCATCCATCCATCCATCCATCCATCCATGTATCCATCTATCTATACATCTATACACACACCATATTGGTGAAGTCTGTTCTGCTCTCTGCAGTCAGCCTGGCAAATGCCTCCCCTTCTGTAGTCCTGGTCTTCATAGTTATTTATCATAAACACTGGAAGCCTGAAGTAAAATGAAGCCATTCCCCCGATCTTTACAAACTGGCTTTGAGCCTAAGCATCCCTCTCACCCTAACCATTTGGCCTTCACCGTCATCTCCTGCTGGCACAGAGCCCAAAGGTCAGCGAGAGGTGTGGGATGATTAGCTTTAGTCGTCACCTAGAACCCCTTGGGAAGAGAGTCTCAATGAGGTGTTGTCTACATGATGTAGAAAGACACAGCTCCATGTGGGCAGCGTCATTCCCTTAACAAGGGGTTTTGAACTAATAAGAACGAAGAATTTAAACATTCAATCAGGGAAGCAAAAAACATGCATGCACATACTGTTCTCTTTTCTTGAGTGTGGATATAATGGACTAGTTGCTTCAAGCTGCTGCCGTTATGACTTTCCTACAGAGGTGGGCTATAACTTGGAATTTTATTTGTTTTTTGTTTTTGTTTTTGTTTTTTTGTTTTGTTTTGTTTTGTTTTTGTTTTTTAGAGAGAGGGTTTTTCTGTGTTGTTTTTGTGCCTGTCCTGGATCTCACTCTGTAGACCAGGCTGGCCTCAAACTCACAGAGATCTGCCTGCCTCTGCCTCCCGAGTGCTGGGATTAAAGGCGTGCGCTACCACTGCCCGGCTTAACCTGGAATTTTAAATAATCCATGAAAGTAACCAACTTCAACATAGTCAGTTTTTGTTTGTTTGTTTATTTGTTTGAGGCAGAGTCTCTCTATGTAGCCCCGACTGTCCTGGAACTTGCTATGGTAGACCAGACTGGCCTTGAACTCTCAATTTGGGAACTAAGAGGTGTACACCACCATGCCCATCTAGTAACGATTTTTACATTATTTCTTCCTCAGGTTCTTTAGTACTCGGTGTTTTAAAACTCTTTGGGTACTTCATGTCACTTAAAGAAAATACAAACTGATTCATCACAGACTTTTCACTAGGATTATGTTGCATACAAACAGAAAAGAAAGCTTGCCTTTACTATTTTCAACGGATGTGACCTCTGTTTCTTTGAGTCTGTCATCTTAATTATCACAGAGGGATTTTCGTTTAAGAGAATCCTTGAAATTGTCTCTTAAGAAGAAAAGTGTGGTGATCAGTCCTGCCCCACCTCAGGGGAACACCACTCTTGGAAGCACATGCAGTGGAGGTGACTCCAGGGAGTGAGTCCACACACAGACAGGCTGAAGAGAAAGAGGACCATGATGCTTCTGTACCTGTCTGCTCCTCTCCAGCACCACCACCTCCCTCCCCACTCTCCCCAGCCGCCCCAGCATCTTCCCCCAGCCCCATCTATCTGTGGTAATGCTTACTTGAGGAGCCGACTTAATGATTTTCACTCACTATGACCTCAGTTCACAGTGGCATCTGCCTTGTTTTACTGCTGATGTCTTTTAACGCCTTTAATTAGTGCAGCCATTGTAGAAAAAAAAATGTGGAGTAGAGCTGCTGTATGAGTTAGCAAACCCACTTCTGGGTTTATAGATAAAGAAAACTGAATCAATCTGCTAAAGAGACGCCGGTTCTCCCGAGTTCGTTGCAGTACCTGTCACAGCAGCCAAGAAATCAACTGGCTGTCCATCAGCAGAGGAATGGTGATGTGGGGCATGAAGCGATGGGTACCACGTGGCTGTAGAAAAGAAGGGGGTACCCTGTCCTTTGTCACAGTGTGGGTGAACCTGTGAGACAGACGCAGTGATATAAAGGTGAATACAGTGTCTCTTTGGGACTCGTTTGACTGGCCTTTGACGGCTCCCCCTTTATTTTTTGCTGACAGAGGTGATGTTTAAGGCTGAATCACTGTTTCCCGTTGTACATGAACGTCCTGGCATGTTTAGACTCACACCACGGCATTGCTTACTATTCTGTCCTCACTGTGCCGTGGCCCCGATCTTCTGCCAGTTGCTCCCCTTCATTTGATTTATAGCTCTTCTCATCATCTAGCTTTGAGGTTCAGCCTAATGCTGATGTATGCACAATGCAGCTGTGCACACTCCTGTATGAGTAAGCTTTTCCTAGGAAATGTGTGCTCACACTCTCTTCCTGGGTGTGAGATCTAGGAAGCACCCTGCTCCATCCTGGCCCAGTGGCTTGGTTCCCTTGCCTTCTGCTCTGTCTGTCCTTCCTGTCTACCCTTGGTACAGCTTTGAGCACACCATCTCTGTATCACTCTGGAGAGGATGAGGAGATTCCATGGCACTAAACAGAACTGCCTTCAGCGTGTATGTCCTCCTCTTGGTACGCTGGTTCTGAGTACTTCCCAATGCAGGGTCCATCTCAGTTGCTGTCTGCACTTCCTAGTTGTGTTCTGCTGCCAGCTTGCGGTAGACTTACTTCCTCTACACACATTTCGCTAAGTTCTTCACCAGATCACTCAGGAGCTGGAAGAAGACACTCTCCGTGTGCTGTGCGAGGAAAGTCCATTCTTTCTTTCGGCCCTCCCCACCCAAACCAACCTTTGTAAGGAAATAGCCAATATACAAAACAAGGAAAGAAAACCCAGACATTCCTGTGGAGCGAGGTCTGTTAGGTGTCTCCATCTGAGGTCGCCCATGCTAAAATATGTAACGGCAGCTAGCCCAGTGGAGAACAGTCCCTTTTCTTCTTCTTCTTCTTCTTCTTCTTCTTCTTCTTCTTCTTCTTCTTCTTCTTCTTCTTCTTCTTCTTCTTCTTCTTCTTCCATTTTTTAGAATATACGATGTGCTATTTCAAATTTAGTAAAAAGGAAAAACCGCTTTTTCTCGGTTGACTCCCTTACGAGTACTTCTCTCTACTGCAGGATCTTACACGTTTGTTCCGTGGCTTCTCAGCTTTAAAAGAGGAAGCGCCCTGGAGGAAAAAGAGAACAAAATAGTGGTGAAGCAAACAGGTTACTTCTTCATCTACAGCCAGGTAGTGTCACCCCCCCCCCCCCTTCCTGGCCCAGTGCTTTCACAGTCTCGCACATCTGACAACACCCTGGCTTGTTTCTCAGGTTCTATACACAGATACTATCTTTGCCATGGGACATCTCATCCAGAGGAAGAAAGTGCACGTCTTTGGGGACGAGCTGAGCCTGGTGACCCTGTTCCGATGTATTCAGAATATGCCGAGAACGCTGCCCAACAACTCCTGCTACTCCGCTGGTATGTAGCTCGCCTCAGGCTCGCTTAGCAGAATAATGTAGACTGTGTGCTAGGGAATCAGATCCCCCAAAAGTAGTGCGTTGTGGTCTTCATGGAAAGACCTTCTGCTGTGGACTGTGCTGTTTATTTTGCCGTAGTTGGTGTCAATTGAGAAAACCGATATCATTACTAACGGTCGAACCATTTTTATAAAAATTGGGGTTGAAGAGACAGCTCAGCAGAGAAGAACACTTGCTACTTTCCCAGAGGACCGTGGCTTGATTCCCAGCACCCACGTGGCAGCTCACAACTGCTTGGAACTCCAGTCCTAGGGGACCTGATACCCTCTTCTGGTCTCCTTAGGCATTGTACATGCATAATGCACATATTGTCCACAAAGGAAAATACCAATACACATGAAAATAATTAAATGAGATAAATGTGTTTAAAAAAATTAGGAATGAGTATTACAGAGCTTGACATTGGAACAATTCTTATTTTTCTTCTCTTCTGTGATGAAGTCATGCATGTCCATAATGATTGTTAGTTCTTACCGCTGTTACACTTCTGTGGTTTCCCTTCTTCTTCTGAACAAGCCCCCTCCTGCTTTCCTGTCTTTTCCTGTGTTAGCCCCACTGAGCTTGGTTGTGGTGGCTTCGAGACCATGGGAGGGAGGTTATTTGCTGGAACCTCGGCAACTTTTTAGTAGTTAAACCCCTGAAGAAAATGGCACTCCTTCCCCAGAAGCCATTAGCTGTCAATAGTCTCTCAGGGGGAGGTGTGGCTTCACAAGCCCCTCCCTAATCCCCGAAGCAAAGCTGAGGGTCCCGGTCCTGTTCTGGTCTTGTGCAGGTTCACAGCTGCAGAGAGTTCACGAGTGGACGGTTCTAAGGCAGCTTTCCTTCCATCCTTTTTAAATCAGCGACAGGAACGATGCCTACTCCCTGTCAGATATAAAAACCTGAGAACCCTCTGGGCTTTCCTTTTCTGTTCAGTCCTCTGGCTGCTTCACCATGGGCCACCCAGGCTTCCTTACTCTTGTAACCTCATCTCAGGGAGAATCCAAGCCACGGAGGTAACACAGTAACTGCTCCCAAGTGCCTCAGTCTCAAGCTACAGCACGCCCGGCCCCACAGTGTGAGCGTGTGATGGAACGAGACGACCCCAGTCAGTCCCTCCTGCAAGGAAGGGCATATTGCAGAATGGCGGAGTTCGTTCTCATGGTTAAACAGGTGGCCTTGTGCCCATGGCGAGTTGTGAACTCAAAACTGCAGCAGCAGCAACAGCTTTGCATTGAGCTCAGGGACACAGAGGCACAGGCGAAGGCCGACTGTAGTTCCAGCCTGTCCATGCTGGAACTGCCAACATTTTCCTCACTGTGTTTCAAATTAATCAGCTGTTGGCCCCCTTACACACTTGTATCTCTCTCTTTTGGTCTTGACAAATCTATTCAGAACCCAAAGAATGTCTTTAGTCTCAGACAGTTACAGCAAACAGCAATGTGAAACCCAGGATTGTGAAATACCTCTAAAGTATTTCAAAGGCCTTTACAAACAAACACCCAATAAATCAGCTGGACGCAGAAGAGAACACAACCCCATCACAGAGGCCATGCCACGCTGGCCCCTAATGACTTCAGTGCCCAGGAGGAAGTCTGTCATGTTCGAAGTCCCTAATTTTCATAAAGGAGGCTGCCTCTGTACCCAGTGCTGACCAGCGTTTTGATATTGCAAAATATTTATCAATGGAAAAACCTCCACTCTGTTGCTGGCATTTCCTATAGAATGCCTCAGCCAATGCTCCCCAAAGATTCCAAATCACTTGGTTTCCTCACAGTTCCTTCTCGTGGGTGGATTCTGACAGACTCCCCAGGTCCCTTACTTTTTAAAGGCTAACTCCTTTGATGTTGAAGATACGTCTCAGTATCAGTAGGTCAGCGCTAGACATGAAAACCAGCTCCAAGAAGTCTCAGGCTTACTACTTTAATTTTGAGTTTGTGTTTTGATCCTATGCTAACTCGCCCAACCTCAAGTGGTGAGCTTGAGACACCCAGCATGGTACTGAGGAACGTTTGTATGTACTAAGATGAACCATGGCTTTGTTGGTGAGTTGAATAGGCTTCTCGTAGGAAAAATGTCACAGCTGATTTCTCCAGCCTGGAGGAACTAAAGTAGCCAACGACTCAGTGCTGGGATTTGAAATAGGAGCCAATAGCGGTTCACACTCATTTCTGTCGTTTGCCACAGTATTACACCAGGCTCAGTATCCAGGGCCGCCACAAATCCTTGCAACACACATGCTCTGAGCGCTTTTCACACTTTTTTTCTTTAATTCATAAGGTAACTAATCCGTTAATGCTTTGCCAGTTTCAAAACACACAGGCATCATGTACAGCGTGTCCATGGAGCATTGTCTGTCTGTGTCAGTCACCTGACAGACAGAATGTGGTCCCTGGGCGGTCTTTTACACTTCCAAGTCACAGAATACGTTGTTACAAATTAGGCGCCAACAGATATGTCTAACATTTTAAGGAGTTTATTACTTTGTTTCTTTTGAGCATGAAGAGAATCATGGGCTGTGAGGAGAAACCCCAAGTATAGAAGGCTATGAGGAGAAACTGTGAAACACTATAGATTGATATTAAATAAGGCTTTTTTTTGTTGTTTTTTTTTGTTTTGTTTTTTGTTTTTCGAGACAGGGTTTCTCTGTGTAGCTTTGTGCCTTTCCTGGAACTCACTCGGTAGCCCAGGCTGGCCTCGAACTCACAGAGATCCACCTGCCTCTGCCTCCCGAGTGCTGGGATTAAAGGCGTGCGCCACCACCGCCCGGCAGGTTTTTGTTTTTAGATATTTATTTACTTTTGGCTTTTTGAGACAGAGTCTCACTCCGTAGCCTGGGCTGAATTTTTTAATTCAGTGTGCGGTTTAAACTTATCATCAGGAGCTGGTGAAACACCTCAGTGAGTAAAGGCACTTGCCGTGTGAGCACGGCCGTCCGAGTTTGACTCCAGAACCTGTGTAAAGGTGGCAAGGGAAAACCAGCTCCCCACGCTGTGACATGTGTCTGTAGGCATCATGCATTCTCACTTGATAATAACTAGTACAAATTAATAAAAAGGGGCTACCATAATGCTGGGCTTCTCTCAAGCTACAAAAGGGTATTTTATATATATATAATATATATATATATGTGTGTGTAATTTTATTTTAATATTAGATATTAAGTATAATATATAATATATATTAAATATATCTTATATTTTTAATATTAGCAAAAGTTTCCTTTAGTAGCAAAATTAAGCAGCACCCACCCGTGATGATATGATAGTCTCTCAAAGAACAAGGTTTGATCCACCTGACACTGACATTTGCCGCCGGAATCCCCGTCTACGCACAGAGGACACACATCTGGAATCTGCTGTTTCTCCTCTTGAGGTCATTTTATTAATTTAAAAGCCAACAGAGTCATGACCAATTGAGAGGTCCGCTGTTGTGAGTGAGTGTGAACACTTGTGTTGACTTTGTGTGATAGCTTCCTTCAACGTGCCCTACTGAAAGCTCTTGTCACCCCCCCGCCCCAGGCATCGCCAGACTGGAAGAAGGAGACGAGATTCAGCTGGCCATCCCTCGGGAGAACGCGCAGATTTCCCGGGACGGAGACGGCACCTTCTTCGGGGCCCTGAAACTGCTGTGACCCACTCGCTGGATCGTGTGGCCCCTTCGCTCCTCTCCTCCGTACCTCCGAGGGGAACGTGAACAACTGGAAATACCAAAAGAGGGGGAGCCACCACCAGACCTTTGCTTGTGAGCTGTTTATTTTGGTTCACCGAATCTGGTCCAACCCAGGACATTTGAGAGACAACCACAATCAAAGTCTGTCCTGTGAATGACGAGAAATGGAGCCCGCACTCTTAAAGCCAGGACCCGGGAGGCGGGCTGTGCTCCGCAGTCTAAGCCAACACGCACCATGCCCTCGGGTCTTCTCTGGAAACACACAGTTCAGAAGGCCGGGAGATTTCCTTAGAGGTGGGCTTTCGTAATTCGCGGTGAGAAGAGGGTCCGTATCTGTGGGTCACTGAAACATTCGTGCAAAGTCTCAGGATTTATCTTCTCTTTTCACATTAAATAGACTCTTCTCTTTTCCAGTTAACACTAGGGAAAGTTTTGTTTGTTTTTGTTTTAATCTAGGAGTCTTGAACTAGTCGTAGACGAAAATACTTAGTAGAAGTTCAGTTTTTGTCAGTTTAAAATAAACTTAATTTAAAATGGTTAAGCATCCAATAATTAGAAAAGAACCGACTATTGAACTTTTCTTGGTTCAGGTCAAATGTGCAATTGTTTCTGACATCAAAGTCTTTTTCATGGGAGGAAAGGATTCCCTCATTTTGGATCACATGTATATTTTCTAATAACTTCCAGTTGCTTTATACGATGTTACTGCAGACACATCTGACGTGTGCACAGAAGCCACTAATGCGAAACTGTAGTCGCACTCACATAAACCCCACTTTGAGCATCTGTAGCAGGGGAATACATTTCGGTTGTGTCCAGTTCCACTGCCTGCTGCCGCGGCTGCAGGTCAGGCAGTTCAGCCCTGCAGGAAGCGTCGGCCTCATTTGCTCTACAGTAGTTGAGGTTTCGGCAGAGGTCATAGCATCTGGTGTCAACGCAAGGCACACACATGCTCCCCTTGACGACCACGAGGACACTGCTGCCCATGCATATTCCACGGCGTCCGTTTCCTGTGTATCATGTCTTCTGTGTTACTAGCTGACCCCACTAGATGCTTTCCTCCATTCAAGAGGAAATGGAGGAAGAGACATTTCCCTGTTTGCCTTACAGTAGTATAAAGATGACACTGTCACACACAGGAAAGCAGTCATTTAAATCTGTGTCACGAATCTAATGTTGTTTAGCTCTCTGCTTTCTGTGTCAAGTGAGGTTTTGGGGTTCAAGTGAGATGGACTTGGAAGTTTATTTTGTTTCATAAAACAATAATTAAGAGGCAGCAGTGGGAGGTAGGGAAGAGCATTGACCCGGAGGAATGGCTAGGGACTTCCAGAGTACCGCTGCTAAGGTTGGCTGACAGATAAAACCACTGTGCCTTCTGCCCCAGCGCCTGAGTGAGCCTGTCTGCCAACACCCACCTTTGATGCTTCTCTGTTCAACTGTAACTTTGAAAAAATCAGGTGAGAGCATTCCAGGCACTGTAAAATAACATGTCAGGGCAGTAATTGTAAAGTGTGGATAGTTTACACATCTCCAAGGGATCTTCTCATGTCAACATATCACCATTATTTCTTAGAGAATACAGTTCAGCAAAAATACTGGATTTGAATAGGGGTGTTTTAGGGAAACTCCCAAGTCTGGTGTATGTGAGTCATAAGACACCCACTTTGAGTATTCTCTGTAACCTGCACACTGATTTCCATAGTCTCTAGACTAGTTTACATCCCTGCCAGTGGAGAGTTCCCCTCGGTACACATCCCCACCAGTGGAGAGTTCCCCTCAATACACATCCCCACCAAGACTTGTTTTCATTTATCTTTTTTGACTAGGGTGAAATGGGAATCTCACTGTGATTTTTATTTGTATTTCCCTGGTGGCCAGTAATGTTGAATGTTGTTTCATGTTTATTGGCTATGCCTGATTCATCATTTGAGAACCTCCTGCTCATTTCATTAGCCCATTTATTGTTTTGATTGTTTGGCTTATTAGTACTTATTCACTTATTTTTGTTTGAGTTCTTATATTGTAGTCTGAGTCTGGAGCCTTTAGCTGCTAGGGATCTTGATACCTGAGTTCTTAAATATTCTAGATAACAAACCTCTGTCAGATATAATGACTAGCAATTTTATTCCCTATTCTGTAGACTGTTTATTCACTGGATATGTTGGTTTCATTGCCGTGAAGAAGTCTTTTAACTTCATAAAATCCCAGTTTTTAGCTGATGGGCCATTTCCTAAGCAACTGAATTCATGTTCATAAAGTGCTTGCCTGTGTTGATATTTTGAGGTGTGTCTTCCAATTTTCCTCTATCAGCTTGAATTTTAGGTGTCAACGTAATAAAGGGTACATGACAAACCTACACTTAACATCATGCTAAATGAAAAAAATAAAGGCCAAAGCTAAAACACTTTCAAAAACTCAGGCAAAGAAAATATGTCCACTTTATCCATACCTATCTAATATTGTACTTGAACTCTTAACCAGAGCAGTGTGAAAGAAGTGAACTGTCAGGTTTTATGTTAGCGAGCTATCTGAAAGTGAAGTTTGTGGGAATTTGAAGAAGTTTTGGGGTTTGGGCGTAAGCTGTTCCCACTCAGGCTCCTGTGCTGAATACCTGTTTCTCAGCTAGTCATGCTATTTGGGGAATTTGTGAGACCCTCAAGGTGGAGTTTCATTGTAGGAAGTGGGTCACTGGGGCTGGTCCTACACTGATTCTGGCCTAAATCTCCTCTTTGCTGAGATTTGAGGCTCTGAAGCCACACTCTAGTTGCCATGAACTCTGCCATACCTCTGGATGGACTTTGCCCTCCAGAACACTAGCCCAAATGTGTCCTTTCTCCTTCCTCTGCTTCTTCAGTCAAGAATTCAGACATAGATATCAGAAAAAATAAGCCATCTTGGGGGGGGGGTCGAATATTGCCTTTGGGCACCTTCAGTCACCTTGGGTAAGGAAGGGGTGGGGAAGGAGGGGATGGTGGGAGACAAGGAAGGGGAGAGGCAAAGCAACCTCCTGGTTCCAAAAGATCTCGCCATCTTCACGGAAGCGCAAATACCAGAGAATTGTCACCCATGATTAGGCTCACCTGAGGGCCCCCCTTCTTGTGATTGGCCAGATGTGGCGAGGACTTTGGTGTGTAGGTCAAGGGTTGCTTGGCATTTAATCTAATGGAAGAGAAAGAGAAGAGGGATTTTGGCATTGAGTGACAGCCACAAGTAAAGAACACACTGGAGCTGGAGGAGGAAAAGATGTCCAGGCACAGGGTCTTCTGGGGACTAGGGACTGTCCATATGGGACCAGCCTGTGGTGTAGGACCAGGACAAGGAATGTGCGCAGGCCTGCAATGCCTGAGCTCACCCCGACATGCCCTTCCCCAGTCTTTCCTCCAGATTAGAGGAATCCCCCCAAGTCTTCCTGAGGACTCTCCCTGGGGAGGGAGTGTGTGTTGGGGCCCAGATCACCAACGGAGTAGGGGCCACACTCCGTGAGAACCTCACAGCAGGGAGGGTGGGAAAGTAAGCTCATCCACATTAAATTCTCATTTCCAATAAAGTTATTGCACAATATGTTCGGTGTGACTCCTGGAAATTAAAGAGAAATAGTTTATTTTTTTCCCCAAGTAGAAGCCATGAAATTAAAAGGGCTTCCAGACCCTCTTCCAAATGTCACAGTAAAAACAAACAAAGCATTTCTAAAACAATGTATCATCAAGCAAGGAATCCCCTTGGCCAGCCACAGAAGGCTGCCATCAAGGATTGGCGTGGAGACCTGCAGAGGTCAGTCTGTTCATGAAGTGTGTGAAACCCTTATCCCCTGGGGGAACAGGGACATGGTGGCATCTGTGGAGTCTCATCTCACCAGATTCCAGATGCTGCTGCATCTTCATATGCTCCTTACTAATTATACAGTGTGTACGTGTGTGTGCATTGCCTGTGTATGTGTGTGTGTGTGTGTGCTGTAGGTGCACAGTGTGTTGTGTGTGTGTGCATGCATGTCTGCACTGTGCGTGTATTGTATGTGTGCATGCGTTGTGTGTGTGTGCAGTGTGTGTATACAGTGGAAGTCACAGACATCTTGCCCTTAGAACAGGGCAAGTTTTACTGAGAAATCTCAAAATGTGCAACTCTTGTCTTGATGACTGGCAAGATGCATCCTGCATTCCTTCTGAGGTGTGTGGTCCAGCCAGGACAGTGACACTGGAGCCCAAGCTCAGACAAGCAGGGAACATAGCAGTGATGGGGGATGCTGAGGGTCCAATTCAAGCCCTCCCTTGTGCTAAGCGGATTTTCTGCTACTGAACACCCCCAGCCCCAGATGCTAAACATACTGAAATGTGAATTTGAAGCAGATGCTAAACATCTTGAAATCATGTAGTAAGTAGATGTTTGGATTGTGTGTCCACAGTTTAAGGTCAGCCCACCCTATCATATTTCTGTTCCTGGCACTCCTTAGCAAGAGGCAGCAGTGGCTTTCTTTCATCTACTAGAAACCAAAGGACTTCAGCTCTGGGACACAGAGTTTCTTCAAGCACTCAGACGTGTCTAAGAGATAATAACACGAAAGTGAAAGGCATGGAAGCTGCCCGATCATGGCGTGGAGGGTGCCTGGGAGCCATTGTGTGAGGAGAAAGAAGGGCGTCTGTAGCATCGCTTCTGCTGGCCACGGCTTTTGTGTTGCTGTGACACAAACACAAGACAAAACCAAGGCGAGACAGACTTGTTCTGGGGACAGCTTCAGAGAACTTCCACTGTGGTGGGGACATGAGGACAAGGGTGTGTTCCTTCCCAGTGAGTACAGAGACCATAATTGACATCGAGCTCTTGGTTCCTGAGGGATTTACATTTACCATGGTGGGCAGGGCATGGTGGCTCCACTCCCTGCTGATGTGTGGCTGAGCAGGAGCAGAGAACTGGTCTGCACCAGAAGAGAGTGGAATCTTTGAAGGCTGCAGTCCTGCCGGTCCTAAAGGCCTCACCACTTAAAGGTTGCACAGCCTTCAAAACGGCACTGGAAGCAGGGGAGTTAGCATTCAAGATATGAGCGGGAGGGGGCACCTTTCAGATTCTGGCCATACTCTCCTGCCCCGTGCCTCTGAAGGCTCATGGTTGTCTGATAGTAAGAAGTTCAACTAGTCCAGATTTGTATTAACTACTCCAACTCATCCAAATACCCAAAGTTCAAAAATCTCTTCCGAGTCTCAAGGCAAAGTCTAAGCTATGAGACTTTGCAAAATAACCTTGCGGTATACAGGTCTGGGTGGATCGTATCTTTCTAAAAGGGTGGAATTGGAGGTAGCAAGGAAACATTGGACCAAGCAAAGAGAAAGCAGGACACACATTAACCCTTGCAGCCCCAGGTCTGGTGTCTGTGGCACACGTTAGCCCTGCTGCTGTGCGGCCCTTGCTTTGTGCAGCATGCTCAGCTCCCTTGGCCGAGCTCCACATGGCATCTGCAGCTTTCCATGGCAGGTATTGCACTTTGCCAGCATCCTCAGGTCTACATCGCAACCTAGATGGCATGGGCAAAGCTTCATGAAGATGCCGCACAGGGACCCCGGATGTAGGGACCCCCACTGCTGCTGCACACTGCCTGAAATTACGGCTTTTTTCTTGACCCAGTACCTCTAAGACTCTGTAACTTACCTCTAAGACTTGCATTCAGCGTGTCTGGAAAGCCACACACACAGAAGATGCCAGTTTCAGCTGCCATGCTGAGATGCAGCTGGTCCCCGTTGGATCGTGGCTGCACTGGGCTGAGTGCCTGTGTGTCTTCTGTCGAATGGTGCTGATCTCTCGGTCAGTTAAAGCCATTCATCTGCTCTTGTTTTGTCCACAACCTTCAGTCACTCTCCTCTCCTTGCCAAACTGCACCTTTTCCAGATCCTGTTCTGATCTTTGGTCCTGAATCTCAATGTCAACCCGGTTTAGAGCAACGAGAAGTAACAGTGCTGTAGCCTACAGACCGTGCACTATCAAACTTCCCTCTACAAAATCAATTCATTCCTTACATTTGAGTTCATAGTCACTCAGCTTTGAGGACTCCAGGCAACACATAGCTCGGTTCTTTGCACAAATGTGGCATGGTATGGGCTATAGTCCTGTCTCCAAGAAAGCTCTGTTCCCGCCTGAAGCCTCCTGAGTGCTGTCTTTGGGTCCACCTTTCTCCAGGCAGTCTGAGATTCCAGCCTCCCAGCAGAATCTTCCATTAAGTGGAGCCTCGTTTATCCTAGGACACCTGTAGTCCCCAGCTGCAGTCTCTCCCAAGTGCCTCCTGAACATCGTTTCCAAAGGTCTAGACATCTCATGGTCACGCTTGTTTTTGCAACAACCTCCCTTTTCTGACATTAATTTCTGTGTTAGTTAGCCGTCATCGTGGTGACAGAATGCATGGCAGAGACTACTTAAGAGTGGAATGGTTTATTTTGACTCCTGGTCGAGGAGAGACTTCAGTTCTTCATGTTAAAGGTGTAGCAGGGAGAGGCTGAGCGAGGTGACTGGTGCTCACACAGCACAGGCCAGCAAGCAGAAACCCTGGCCCCAACCAGGGCGCATGGCCTGTAAAGACCCAGCCCTAGTGGCCTGCTTCTGTCAGTCCCGTCTCCCTAAAGGCCCCATGACTTTCAGTATAGGAACCCAAGCTGTGGACAGTGTTCAAAACATGGGATGGAAGGCACTTTACAGTCACACCATGATGCCTGAGCAGAGAAACCAAAAGGGAAGGAGAGGGGAGGGGAGGAAGGAAGGGAAAGCATGTTCAATATTTAAAGAGTGAATTAGGATCGAATGTAAAATCAGCAGAGGAAGACAGAACCTCCAGTCTTTTTTTTTTCCAGAATATTTCTTGGAATACAATATAAATCCCATCACATTTTAATTTTAAATTTAATTTTAATATATGTGCCGTGTTGTGCATGATGCTACATAATTGATTTAAAGTACTCAGGACTTAAGGTCAAAGTACAGGATGGGTAGGGATATAGAGGAAGATATTAATGAAACTTTTGTCTTTCCTCAGATTTTGCACCTTCAGTTTTTTTTATTAAATTTTTAAAATTTATTTTACACATCAACCACAGTTTCCCCTCCCTCCTCTCCTTCCCTTCCCTCCTCCCACCTTCTTTCTACTCGTGCCCATCCACTCCTCAGAAAGGGGCAGGCCTCCCACGGGAATCAACAAAGCATGGCTTATCAAATTGAGGCAGGACCAAGCCCCTCCACCCTGCATCAAGGCTGAGGGAGGCATCCCACCATAGTGAGTAGGTTCCACAAAGCCAGCCCATGTGCCAGGGACAGATCCTGGTCCCACTGCTGGGGGCCCCCCAAACAGACCAAGCTGCACAACTGTCATCCACATGCAGAGGGCCTAGGTCAGTGCCATACAGGCTCCCTAGCTGTCGGTCCAGAGTCCATGAGCTCCCAGGAGC